ACTACTCCTCTATGCTGACCAAGAAGCGTTCAGGGTGAGTCCGGGGAGTGAGCAGTGGGGAGCTGGGAATAAAAGCGAAATTTCCTTTTCGCATTTGCTGCGCTTTATTAAACTTTTTGCCGCACATGGAAATCCCAAAAGTTCCTGTGTCATTTTTTGTTTTTTCTTTTTTTTTTTGTATTTTGCTTTTTCTTTTTGCTCAGTTGTCGTTGTCGCTTACATTTTGACAGGCCGTGTCAGCTGCCAGTGGTTGAGCTGGTGGTGCGGGCAGCCATGTGGCTGTGGTTACGGTTTATATTTTTAAAAAAATCTTCACGCATTTGGCAAATTATCTTTTGATCCGCACGCCTCAATTGCGCGCCGGAAGGTGGCAGCTACTCGTGGATTGGCAGCGAATGCGTCAACACAATGCCACTTGCTACACGCCGCACAGCCAGTGGACAGCGCCATAAGCCAGGGCAATCGCCTGCCTAAGTAGTTGTTGTCTCAAATGTCTCGCGCTGCCATCGAAAAGTAGTTTGCGCGCAAATCCTCAACTTAGCAAAACTCCAGCTCCAGCTCCAGCTCCAGCTCCGGCCAGGACTCGACTCGACTTGAATCGGGCACATTAAGTGCAGCGAGAACAGACAACAAAGTCGTTGCGAAGGAGCGCGGCAAAACTTTGCAAAGCCAGCGCCAAGTGCTGGTTGTCGAGGAGGCAGGCGAGCGGAGCAGGGCCTGTGCCCTGCCAGCGGATGATGGCCGGGGATCAACGTTTTACGTAGCAGTCATGGAGCCGTAAAAAACTTTTGCAACAGACTACACAGACAACACGGACAGAGCGGGAGCAGGGCTAAGACGGGCTGACATCCAATGTGCAACTTTTTGGCGAGAAGTTCTTTTCATTGTGCTGCGCCCTCTGACACTGACATGGAACCAAAACTGTGCCCGGGGTTGGGGCTGAGCCATAATGGGAGATTGGGAGCTGTCGCACATAATGCGCACAATGAAGTGCACTTTTCATACTCGAAAGAATTGAAAAGTTGTTTGCCACCCGAACGCCTTCAACGACTCGGAATATAGATGAGCTATAGAAACTCTACGTTTACCAATTGGATTAAAAGTATCCACAACAACTCGATGGGAGGGGAGCGAGCTATATATAATCTATATTTGATTACTTCCATGGAATGTATAAATGTATAAAAATAGTGCATTGCCTTGCTGTGGCTTAAGCTGATTTTCAATTTTATATAATTTTACTCTCATTATTGATATACTCTTTAGACATATATAGGCTCCAGAAAACTGTTCTTGAAACAAAGCGGCAAACTGGTTTCAATTATAATATTAGAAACTAGCAATGCTCATCGGCTTTTAGGTGTAAAACAAACATCAACACATATCAACAAAATAAAGATTTTATTATCAAACTAAAATTGAAATGAATATGAAAAAATAGCTAGAGTTTTATAGACATTGCGGGATAAGACTTTGAGCAGGGATTTTAGCAGTAAAACTTATTTATGATTTCAAATTGTTTCAGTATCTGACTATATAGCTATTTAAAATATATTCAAGGTAATACTGAAATGTTTCAATCTGACTTGTAAATAATTGCATTCCTTAAATGAAAACTCATTGCTCGCCTCACACACTTTTAGATAGATAAACATTGCAACAAGGTCAGAAGAGATAAAGTTCTCTCTTTTAACTTACACATTCGTTTATATTTAGATTTATAAAAAAGTGTGTGGTATGGGAGACAACAGGCTTTGCCTTTTGGCTAGACCTGAACCAAGAACCACTTGTTGCAAATATTTGTTGACTCGCTTAAATTTATGACCCAACGCGGAGCGACAAAGGCAAAGGCGAACGCAGCAGATGGGGCAATGGCAGCCAAAGGCCGCAAGTTTTTGCTGCTTATGAGCAAATTATCAAAAACCAACTTAAAACTTTTGCCAACTCTCCAATACAGCATCAAAACAACATTAACACAGCCACAGCTAAATGCAACGCTCACAGAGAGAGAGAGGGGCAGCGGGAGAGCTGCACTTGGACTTGAACTTGCACTCGGTCTGGAGCAGCGATTGGGGCTGCTGACTGTGCTCTTTCCGGCTGCCTCTTCCTTTTTGTGTTCATGAGTTACAACTTAATTGAAATCGCGCTTTGTTGCAGCGACAATGCACGCGCCCCACCTCTCGCCTGTGAATGGGGAGCGCTTCTAGGACGCCAGTCACGATCGGCACTCTTTAGTTATTTGCCTAATGCCCGCGTGAAATATGACGAGGCGTTAAGTAGTCGCACAGCAGCTACAGTGGAGAGGCCTGGCGAATAATGGCTAAGAATCAGAGAGAGTTTCAAATTGTTTTTGCTAATTTCAAAAGTGTAAAATATAGCTCAAAATTAACTAGTTGTTTTCAGTCTATCCGGGTGTCCATAAAGTTTTGATACAGCTTTTGCTAACAGAGTAGACTAGAAAGGTTTAGGTTAAGTCACATAGACATTATCTGAGCTGGATTTTAAGCTCCGACTTGGCTACGAACTTATTTAGGGTTGGCACTCAGATTTTGTAGCACAGTGAAGCCAGTTGAATACTGATTTTGATATATTTAGTTAACGAGTGTTAAAAAGAAAGCTTTTTAGTTGCTGCTAAAGAAGAATTTCCATTTCTGCGCAATTTGTTATATATTAAATTCATGAAAGTTGTCACTAACCGAGATCGAACGAAGTAATTTTTAAATTTTCTTCCCACTGTCGCAACTATTTTGTTGGTTTCACAATAAGAAGAAGAAAAAGAAGAAGGAGTTGAATGCAAAAGCTAAGCAAAAAGAAACTCGTATGTATTTAATCATCGTAACTTAAGCTCGAGATCATGTTGTGCCACAGTCAGAGTGCTTCGACTCCAACTCCGACTTCGACTTCGACTTTAAGTTCGGCTTGGAGCCCAAGTCTAAGTCGGTCCATGGGCCGCACCCTCCGCGGGAGACACTTTTTGTTGGGTCTCAGGTTCGAGTCGCTGCTTGGCGTTGTCTCTGTTTCATTTTTTAATATAAAAAGAAAAAAGTGTATAAAGAAGCAGAAAACTTCATGTCACCGCAGCGGGCTGGTTGCCTTTTTTGTAGGCGCACAATTTTTTCTTATTTCTTGTATTTTTTGCACGCCACAGTTGGAGCAGGAGAAGGAGGTGGAGGTGGAAGGCGGGTGAAGGAGCAGTGGCTGGATTAAGACGACGAAGTGTTTGGCTATGGCCAGGTCCAGGTCGGACCCATTCATGGGGCGGCATGCAGCATGGAGCGTGGAGCATGGGGCCGCAGCGTGTTCTGGAGATTAATAAATTGATGGCATCCATTGCACATAACGTGTAACTAATGGCGCTCATCAATTCTGCTTTACATCTCAATCTGGCCGAGGCAGCGAAATAAAAGAAGAGCGAGAAAAAACGCTCAGCCTGTGCCCGAGCCAGAGCCAGAGCCTGAGCCTGAGCCTCGATGTGGACAAACAATTCGGCGGCGATTTAGTAATGACCAACGACAAGGCTGTATTAGAGGAAAAGGAAGTGCTTTCAGCAGACCAACACTTAAGCTCACCTCCCTCTCTGCCTCTCCCTCTGCGTTTCTTTCTCTCTTCACTTTCACTCGCCTGAAAAGGAAAAGGGAACTTCTACACTTGGTTTTGTCAATCCCAGCTGCACAAAGTTGTGTTTATGCAACTCGCACGCATCCTTCGTTAAACCGCCTGCTGCCTGCTCTGTTTCCATGTCCGAGTCCAGAGCCTTTTACGGAAATCGTCTACGGATTAGTTACGCTCCGATTTTGCAACCTTTTCGCTTTCGTTTTCAAAACTATTGTCAATTTGCATTATTCGGGAGACCGCCTTCTGTGACGACTGAGTCGAGCTCGAAGTCGGAATCTGACCCATGTTTGTACCTCTTTCGACCTCTTTCACACTGCGTGACATTTGTCGCAGCCTTTATTTTTTTGCCAGTGCATTCATGGATTTCGTTGTCGGAAATTTGCGAATTTGACTAAATGTCAGGTAAGGGGACGGTGTATTTGCGTTCATTGCAGATGGATTACGACTAATGCGAACGATTGGCCAAGGCAATAAAGTGAAATTACTCGGACGTGTCAAGGTCGGCAAACGTTTGGGCTTCGGCATTGCAAGTAAGCAAATGTTGCCTAAATAGATATATATAGCAAGTGAAATATCTGAAGGGCAGCCGATAATGAACAATGTTGCATTTGAATTTTTTAAATTATAAAAAATGTTTAGTTTGATACTCAAAACGATTTTTAACTTTCGAAGTCTAATAAAGTAACTAAAATGTTTGTTAACTAGCGTTTGTCTGCAGTATTTAAGTACCAATAAATTTTAAAAATATATTTATCATATTTATAGCAAATCGTATACTTCTGTTCAATTTATTAATGAAACCATTTCTTTATTGAAACTTTCATAAGAAATGTAGTTTTAATATATAAGCCAAAACACAATTTGTCTTTTTTCAATTGAATATTGCAATAATTTGAAAATATTTTGTAAGACATTTTACAGTTTTTATCTTAAAAATTCTCAAACGTTTCGATATTTCCATTTGAATAGAGCTTATTAAGCAGTGCAGCTAAATCAAGTAAAAAGCAGTTCGCACTGCTTGCTAAAGCAGTTTTCAATTATATAAAACAAGCAGTGAGCGTGAGTAAGACTTAACGAACAGATCGATGCAGCAACTGTCATTCTAAGGGCTCAATTTTCAACCCGTGTCATGGCAATTTAAACATAAAAATCCTTTGTAGAGAGAAATCGCTGTAAATGTTTTCAAGTAAAGTGGAAAGAAAAGTAACTTCGTTTTTGTTATTCATCAAAGAGTTGTTGTTTCTTTTGATTGATGGTTTTGGTTGGTATGCAACTACGACTATGACTAGTTAAACTACATTCAAATAACTAACTACAGCAACCCACTACTATAAGAAGAAGAAAAATTCCACTTAATACGTTTCGTGGAATTGTCGATCACTTTCCTTGACACTTACCAAACTGACTTCGCATCCAGGGATACAGTGGAGACGGCATCCCTGAGGACTGCGAACTCGGATTTTGGGATGGAGGCGTATGCTGTCCGGGATGTCCTTGGTGCATCTGCGGCGGCCCCTGTCCTGCGCCCGGATGCATCATCGCCTGAGGCGGTGCAACCACCGGCGGCACACCTGTCTGCTGTTGGCCGTACATAGCCATGTTGTGGTGGTTCTGATGCACCTGCGAATGCATCTAGATTAGTGTATTGATCGAGTTAGGCAAGGCAACCAGCACCAAGAAGAAGTATAAAGTGAGTGAAAGCATAAAGTAAGTTGCTCGCCGCTTACCTCTGTCACATCGGGAACACCAACATCTGTGTAGCCCAGCTGCAAATAGCGGAGGCGGAAGAGATGGAAAGAAGCGTTTAGAATGTTATAAGCGAGGCGTTGAGCTTAGAGCTAGGATTATGTGCGGGGGCGGGGCTCATTACTAGCTACCCACTAGGCCTCTAAGGCATGAACTAACTTACCTGTGCCTGCGGATGACCCATGTGATGGGGCAGCGTCATCTGCGCATTCATATGATGTCCGCCCATCTGATCGACCAGTGGTGGAGAGCCTCCCTCTTGGACCATGCCCAAGCCGCCAACGGCTGCCTGCAGCTTGCAGCTGGCATAGACGACGGGCTGTTGCTGCTGCGGATGTGTCACCTGTTGCGTCACCTGAGGATGTTGCTGCTGCAGCGGCGCCTGTTGCGCCTGCTGCTGCTGCTGTTGCTGTTGTGATTGCGCCTGTTGCTGCTGTGACTGTTGCTGCTGCTGTTGGACCAGCTGGCCGTTTGTTTGGGCCTGCGGCATAACGCCGCCCACCTGACTCGAAGGGCTGTCGGGGCGCGAGTAGCCCTGATGCTGCTGCTGCTGCTGCTGGTCCATGCCCTGGCCGTTGTAGTAGGGCATGCGATCGTAGGGCGGGAAGCGCGGGTAGGGCATGTTGCCCTGCTGATTTGGATTCTGGCTGTAGTGATGCATCTGCTGTGCATCGAGATCGGTGACCCCGTTGCCCGGATAGTGGCCATGGTGCATGTCCGCTCCCATATACGAGTTTGTGAAGTATGACGTCATGCTTTCGCAGTTATTTGTACTCATCGTCATTTTTGTTGTTTCTCCTGACTCCTGACTGTTGCCTCGAACTGTTACTGTTGATAGCGCTTACTTAGTTGCTAGTGACTGTGACTCGACTCCGTGTGCTTTTAGCTACTTTCCTATATACAAAGTAAACTGCAAGGACATTAGTCACCTCTGCCAAGAGAACGCTTCGCACACCAATAACACTTACCTAAATATCCTTTGAACACTTAAGTACAATGTACAGTTGCGCCTTAAACTTAGTGTATGAGTGTGTGTGTGGGTGTGTTTGAGTAAGGGGGTGAGGTATAAATTGATTTGCGTCCTCTGTTTGCTGTGTTGGCTTCTCGCTTCCTCCTAATTTGGTAGAAAATCCGTTGGTGTTGTAATTGCTGTTGCCTAAATCCTTAAGTAGCCTTAACCTCTAGTTGTTATTTTCAATTTTGATTTTGAAACTCTGCAATTAGACAATGAAAAGGCATTAGCTTGTTTAGTTGTTTGTCGCTCAAAGTTTCTATTCAAAGTGCCGCTCGAAACTCTGTCAGACATGTGCTTTGGGCTTGAAACAACATGTGCTTCGCGCTCTGTGGGCAAAACCTCTGATAAATTGCTTATGCTACGCTATGAAAAGTTCTTGAAATCTTCAGATCAGAGTGATCAGAAGAGCAAAGGCATAAGTAGTGAGATAGATCGGTAGACATAGAGATAGTGAGAGAGAGAGAGAGACAGACAGAGAGAGACAGAGAGAGATGAATGGGCAGTAAAAAACAGAAGGATTGTGAAAACGAGGCAGACAAAGGGAGAAATGTAAGGAGATACAAATTTGTCACTGTACCTATTGAAAATATAGGTATTCCATGTTAAGTATCTTCAAATATCTCTTTTTTAAGTCAAAGGTATTTAGAGCTTATAAAGTTTATAAGAGATTATTATTTCACTTAAGCAGATTCCAAGAAATATTTCCGCTTTCAGCACTATTCTTGAGCTGAGTGTTGTGAAACGGGCTTAGTTTGAAACAATCCAATCAGAATCTCACTTTTCATAATTTTCATTATAGTTCAAGTAATCATAATAATCAGTTAAGGAAACTATTAAGAGTGCGCAGCGCATCTTCTTGCTCACACTCATAGTTGGTTATGCATTTGGCGGTTCTTTTTGGCTTTCCTAACTGAAATATCATTCATTGGTTTTGGCCGGCTGACAGGCTGACAACATTCGTTGAATTTATGAATATGAAATCAATTGTGTTATCCCCCTTTGACCTGACATCCTTCCGGTCAAAGTGATTTAATTTCCTGGCTCATTATCACGAGTCTCTGACCTCATAAATCAAAACTCGAACAATGCAGACAGACAGAGACAGAGACAGACAAACATACACACATAGACAAGAGAGGGACACTCATACAGAGGCTGGCAATGCCAGACAGATAGACAGAGACACACGTTACATGCCATGCATATATGCATGCAGCTACTTTTCTCGCTCCCTCTCCCACTCTGCTTTGATGGTGGCGACAGCCCTGCCGAAAAACTAACTAACGGTAACTTGTTGTCGGAAATGAAACTTTTGCAACTTTGCGAATCGGCCGAAGCGCAAAAAGAGAGAAAATGTAAAACTTTAAAATATTTCAGCGACAAGCGTCGCTTGCATATTTTTACTCTCGCCCTTTCCCTCCTTCTCCTCCTACTTTTCGTTTTCGTCTTTCATTTTGGCATTCCTCGTCGCTTATATTTGTATTGTGTTCTACTGCTGCTGCTCCTTCTGTCATTCTCTCATGCTCCGTTATTTCGCTTTTGTTAACGAAATAATTTCTTGCGCCGCTGCCGCTGGCACTGGCACTGCCACTGTCGTTGCCGACGCCAAAGCCGAAGCCGAAGCTTCCCTTTCAATTACACATTGGCCGCTGATGGAGAGCGGGAGGATATGCTCGGCGCGAAAGGACAATGCCAGCCGGAAGGAAGCTGCGCCAGGCCCAAAGGCCAGCACACCCACCCAATAGCTAACGGATGCGGTGCTCGGTGGCTCGCATTGCCTATAGAGATTCCCATAAACGAGTATACGATATGTAGGTGGTTATCAGATATGTGGTGCTTGAGGTGGAATGGGAGAAGCGGAGCGGGAAGTGGAAAAACGGCACCAGCGAGACAGCAGCCTTGGCCGTGACTGCTGAAGGGGCGAAGAAATTCAGTCAAGCACAAGCGAGATGATAATAATGTCTGATGTGTGTTTTGTGTGGACGCCGTTGTTGTTGTTGTTGTTGTTGCTGCTGTTGTACTATGCCACTTACTGTTGTGTGTGTGCTCACTTTATGATTTATGTTTGTCTGATGTGATTTATTCAAGTGAACAAATGCTAAAATTTGATTTGCAATAAAAGATTTTCAGCAGAAAATAAAGGACGGAACGTAAGGCTTTAATTGTTTTTTTTTATCTATAGGTTGATTGTTCGATTGATTCTCAGCTTGATTCATTTATGTTAAATAATTAATCAAATATGAATATAAATGAAAAACAATTAACACAATTTAAAATCATTTGCTTAAGCAACAATTGCCCATCAGCAGGCAACAAAAATAAGTAAAGTAAAGTTATTGCATAATTTCAGGCGAGTGGTTTTTGCCCTCTTGCGGCCATAAATTGAAGCTCTTGAGTGTTTATTGACAGATGTCGCTTTAGTTGACTGACATGTGGCGCCACCCCTTAAGTTACAAACGAACTGTGACAGCTTACACTCTGCTGAATGCAATAGTTGTAAAACAGAAACATTATGCAATAGTGACATGTCACAGTTAGGTATTAATTTATAAATAAACTCTGTCATTTCTAATTAATTATATAAAGATTTGAAAACAATAAAGTAAAGTAATGAAAATGACTCAAACAAGATCCATTGGTGTGAGAGTAACTGAAATCCTCACGCAATTTAATAAATTACAATATGAAAGTTATTCCAGTCAACAGTGTTCGCTAGCCACTTAAGTATTTGAAGCTATATATTTTAATACCAATTTATGGTTTGAAAACTATCAGCAGTTATCACCCGATTTTTACCACTGTGCATATACTCATGCAATTAGCGAAGACAACAACCATAGTTTCAAGCCCAGCCCACTTTCACACACGCAAACACATTCAAACAGAGAAACGGGATTGCGCATGGCATATGGGCAGTACCGTTACCTGTTTAAGTCGTCAACGACAACGGAGGCCCCTCTACAGCTGATTTGAGAACTGAACGATAACAACAACAACAGCAGCAGCGCAACGCATATGGCAGCCAATCCATCAAAGGCGACAAACAACAACAATAACAAGAGCTCGGCAATGCAGTTAATCAGCACACACACATACGCACCCATTGGCACGCATACAGGCACGTGCAGACACAGCCATCAACACGATGCCGAAACCGATTCACTCACACGCATGCGCTTTCTCATGATGGAATGGAATGAAAATGAATGATTTCATTCTTCAGCCATCAGCTGCAGCCATTTTGATTTACGATTGCGTCGGTGTCGGCGTCGGCGTCGCTGTCGCAGTTGCTTGCTTCTTCTTCATAGTTTTGCATAGCGGCCATGCGAAGGCGTCGCCTTTGTTATTTACAGTTGTTGTTGCTGCTGTTCTTGTCGGCATCTTCAGAGAGACAGAGCGAGACAGAGAATGAGAGGAGCCATGAATCAAGGTAACGGTCAACATACAAAAGGTAGTTAGGGCGAGTTACACAAGGAAGATGGAGCACAGACGTACACGAAAGCCTCTCAATTAAGCCAAATTGAAATCGTTCTGCTCGGCTGCGCCAGTTGCTTAAATTACTGTTTAGCATTTTATTTAAATAATAACTAATTGGCTTTGCCAACTAAAACAGAGCTATTATTAAGATCCACCTTGATTACGGATTAGTTCGTTAACACTATATGGAGAATTTCTTTTGGCAAATCAACAAGAGGCTTATCTGTGAACTGAATTGAAGGCTGACTATGCTTGTGCCAATTATATTTGCATAAATAAACATATTTAGACACTCACACAACTTCCATTGCTAATTTCGTAGTAAACTAACACATTTTTAGACTCACGCATTTATTTATCTTAACTATCAATAAACGCTAAGCAAATGACCTTGAAATATTGTTCATTTTGTTTAGCGCGAACAAACAAAAAACTTGTAAGTAGTTAAGAGGGCATAAAAAACAGAGACTGGCAAGTCGAAGCACGTGCTCAGACCGAATGCCAGAAGAGTTTATTGTGCCATCAACTAAAGGAGCAAATAAAATTTTATTACCACTATAAATTTCAGCACTTGAAGCGGACCAAAACGCAGACGCGACGGCAGGTCCTCTCCCTGGTCTGTTTTGGCCTGGTCTCGTTTCGTCGGCTGCTCGGCTTGGTCTGGTCTGGTCTGGCCTGGTCTGTTGGAGGATAAGCCCACGCGATTTAGCGACGGTGTTGCATAAAGACGAATGAGCGTAAGAGGCAAACGGCGATCAAGACGGAAGCGGCAGGGCAGGGAAGGCCGGGGCAGGGCAGGGAGCGGACGCATTGAGAACTGCGAGCCAGCGAGGCCTGCATTTTTCTCACATTTATCTTTTTTCGAGTGCTGCGTTTTATTGCGATTGGAAATTGAGCTTGTCAACGCGGCCGTCCGCGACGCTTGGCTAGTCCGGCTATCAATTGACGGGGAGGGATACGACTGCTGTGTTGGCCCTTTACGAAGGGCTAAAGTGGCCAACAGCTGGCTACGTTTTGGGTTTTAGGAGCGCGCGCGCTGCCCGCTGATAATAAAAATGTCAGCCGCTTGACGATTGCCAGTTCATAAATAAAGTTTTGCATTTGAATTGGAAATTGGGAAGAGCTGGAATAGCCAAAGAAGAGCTGGAGAAGAAAAAGGGCGAGTCAGAAGTGAAGCTACCTTGACTTAGCACTCTGTGCACTTGGCCAAATGAAGCAAGGGCTGGAGACGTATTTCTTACATTTAATTGGCCCTATTTAGCATTCACTAATGGACATGAGCCCAGTGTGCAGTGTGTCCAGGCACCTGCATCGAGTGCAACTGCAGCCCAGTTGGGAATATGAGAATATGTTGAAACCTGAAGAACAAGAACTGATAATAAATCTAATTGACACATTTGCGCCGGTAGACATCAGCTGAGTCGAAGCCAGTCCCAGGGCAGTTGACATGAGTCCAAAGCCCAGCCAAGCTGGCCAATAATATGTGAGTGCGTGCAATTAAAAGTGAACTGCATTGCTAATGATCGCTGCTGCGGGAGACGGAAGGGGTAGATCGGAGGCGGGAGGCGGACGGAGGGGCAGTCCATCGATCAGTCAAACAAGACGATTGTTGCCATTGCTCGTAATTATGCCTAAAATGCTGACAATGTACACAATACATAAATTTGCGATCATATCGAATCATCCATCGCAAACATGGCACGGCCCGTCGCATCGAGCGAT